AAAAATTTTTTACCCCCCCCCAAAAAGTTTATCCATTTTTTTTTCCCCCCCCCCCCCCCCTAGAAAGTTTTCTACGGGCGCCCATGCATAATATATACTATTTACATATGAAAGACATTGCTGAATTTACTGGTTTTAAAACTGTTGTCTAATAATATTATGTGGGTGGCAAAGGAATCAGCTGAGATTTTTGTTATGTCCAATGAGCATTCACCTGACTTTTTTTGTTTGTTTCAGTAAAGCAATCAGATGAGATTTTGTTATAGTAAAATGGTAAAGCAGTTCTTTAAATATTTTTATGAACCAACAAAAAATAATTTATTATTATTTAACCCTAAGTAAATTTTAATGGATAAAAATGATTATCCTTTTGAGAAAATTTTTTAAAAAGTAGCCCCACTTTTTCTAAATGAGTACAATATTTTTCTTGTAACTGATGACAATTTTTTAATTTTATGAACAAAACTTTGAAGAAATAATGAATCATACTGTTATGAATGGATTTGTCAGCGTGACTGTTTGTAAATGGAATAGTTATTGATTGTGAGTTGGTGAACAGTTTTATGAGGGCCAGTTGTGATTGTTAGGGTTTAGCTATGACAATAAACAAGTGAGATGTTTAAAATGCTGAGTGAAAATGGCCGGGCTGCGAGTTAGTTTTATTGTTTGAGTGATGTCAGTTGTAGTTAGAGAGAGGTTCTGAGGATGTAAATTTCTTTTGACGAGTTATGTTGATTGTGATGCTGATAGGATCATGTATATAAAGAACTATTATTTATCACCTGGTATTTGTGTTTTTGTGGTCGTCATCCAGTGAGGACGGAAGGACAAAAGCATACATCATTAGGTGTTGTTCCCCAACCCGTTCAGTAAATGTACCTACTGGGAGAGTTTGTTAATTGTGAACGCGTTATAAGAAAGAAGATCACAACATATACCTCTATGCTCAGCATAAAACTGTTCTGCTTGAGCTGTTGATAATCTATGTTGTTTTGACATTAAAAAGTAAAATCCATTCTCCAATATCATCTGCCTCACATTCTGCAAAAAGTAGATTTTCTTTAAGTTTTAAAATGTTTTAAAAAAAATATATTTATTTAAAATGAGATAATTTGCACAAGAACAATTAATTCAATCAAACTGAAAGAAAACAGAATCAATTTTAATCAAATGGAATAGTAAAATTATGCCCTAACTGGGTCAACTTCAGCAAACATTTACGCAAGTGTTTATAGTGTCCCTAGAAGGGAACAATAGTTTTTAATGTTTGTTTTTAAAGTGAGATGATTCAGGTCATATCATCCTCAATGACGTTACAGCCCATGAAGGGCTCTGACCTGCTTCATCACTTCGGTCCAATCAAACCCCCAGCAGATGTAAATCAGGTTCTACATTATCATCCTATCAAAGTATTCAAAGTCTTGGTCTAACGATAAGCCATCTGCGCCTTTGGTTTACAAAGGTGGGCCAGTCCTCCTACTCTTTATAGACTTAGTATGTTCCTGGTCGCCATCCATAACTTATGTCCTTGTCCAAGCATAGGTCAAAATCGATTAATGTCCATCCCATTTTCCAATTGTAGTTTAGCTTTCGTATCAGTTTTATTTTTCATGACACGGTCATCAGCCCTGCACAAAACTGTGCATAAAGAATGATTATTTGAAAGAGACAGACACAACTTTATAGAAAAGGGTTTGGATGGACATTACGAATTTCAATGCAGCCTACTTAAGTAGTACATTTTTAAATGTAATATTAGGCGGCACATTCCATTAATGGCAGCAAATCCTCTGGTTTATTTCCTACACTGACCCCACTAATTCTCTTACATATTTCTTATTCATGCATTCGATTACTTCTTGTTCCTTTCAGTTTTAGAGACTTGATTGAACAAATTATATACTGTGTGGCATATTGAATTAATCATTTTATACATAGTGCACAGAGTACAGCAAACATTCTAGACAGCTAAACCATCTCCACCTACGCTGCCTACGTAAACTTCTTGGCATAAGATGGCAGGAAAGAGTCCCTGATACAGAGGTCCTACAATGGACTGATTGCATCAGAGCCACACGCTCTTACAAAGAGGACAAGCTAGATGGGCAGGGTGTGTCGCAAGAATGCCAGACAACAGACTTCCCAAATGGCTAATTTTCTGCAAAATTTCCAGTGAGAAAAGCTGAGCAGGTGGGCAGAAAAAACATTTCAAGGACTGTCTAAAAGCTTCACTCAAATCCATGGGAGATTCATGGGAGAAAATTGCTATGGACTGTGCAAGCTGGTGTGGCAGACTCATTGTCGAAGCAAAATCCTCTGAAAATAAGCACATCGCTCACGCCCAAATAAAGCTAAAATAAAGCTCATAGCAAGGAAAAGTAGAATCAACTCAAATCCTACTTGGACCCAAAACAGCTGTGTCCCACATGCAGGAATGCTTTCCAGGCACAAATAGGACTGGCAGGCCATCTGTGAATGCACCTTGTAATATAGCCTTGGTCATCTGCGCATATCTAGTGTAATAATTATCCTTTGTTCATTTCTGACAAACATTGATTTTGCGCATAGGCAATAAAACTACAAACCCCAACAGAAATACAGAGCAACACAAAACAACTGAAATTAGTTTTGATAACAAACAGTAACAGGGCCATGATAAGGGTGAGGCAAAAAGGGCACTTGCCTCAGCTGAATGATTAATGGGAAAGGGGGCCAAATTGATGAGTATTATATGTTGCCCCACTCTTTTACTTCTACATGCAAATGAACTTTACTCTTCTACCACCTGTGTTGCCTCACTCTTCAACCAGTCTACCATCCATGTTGCTCCACTCATTTACCAGCAGCTATGTTGCCACACTCTTTTACCAGCTATGTAACATTATGTTGCCACTCTTTTACCAGCTATGTAACACTATGTTGCCACACTCTTTTACCAGCTATGTTGCCACACTCTTCTACCATCTGTGTTGCCCCATGCTTTTACAATATGCCCACTCTTTTACAGATATGTTCGACCCACTCCTCTATACTACTACTACTATAAGCTATTTTGCCCCACTCTATCATAAATAAATATGTTGCCCCACTCTTTTACAACTCTATTGTCTAACTCTTTTACAGATATGTTGCACCCACTCTTCAACCAGCTATGTCATTTGCCCAACTCTTTTTCAGTTATGTTGCCCCTCTCTTTTAATTTTAACATTCAATGTCTATGTTTCCCCACTCATTAACAGCTCTGTTGAGTCACCTTTTTATTTTTACACTTTACTTAAGGTGTGCACCACTCTTCTAACTGCTAATTAGTAATATATTGACAATTATTGATTGTGACAGATTATTCTATCATTTTATCATCATTACTCATTAGTATTAGTCATTATTATTATAATCATCTTATCTTATAGACTTATACTTATAGAACTACAAGTTGACTACAATTCAGACATTACTCTCATTACTTATTACTATTATTAGTAGTATAGTTTACAAATTCACAAAACGGCTTAAAACCTAAATAAGCCAGAAGCATAACACTTTATTTAACGCATTCGTTAAGTAACTTAAATTAAGCATCAAAATTAATTTACATGTAATATATGAGGGTGAGCTACAACATCAGGCTTAAGGAGGGCTAGTGTGAGTTGTAAAGGTCTTGTTTTCATTCTCAGAAAATTGTTTCGTAATCGTAATTGATATTTTTAAAGAAATGGGTTTTGTAGAAATTAAAATTAATTCGCCAAATTCGGCACTCATTATTGATTTCTTTTATATTAATGGCAAAATTTTTAAAAAAAATGAAAATTTAAGATTAAATATTTTTTCATTTATAAACCAGGCAAAGGAGTGTGCCAATAGTAGTACGTTATTATTAACGTTTAGATTAGAAACTACATTTTTTAGCGCAGAAACATCCTACAGTTCTACAGTAAGTGCACAGGCAGTTTGTTTTGTTTAGAAAAATGATTAAATCAGTGTAACATGTTCAAAATTTATGTACATAGAATTGTGTAGATCTGTCAAAGATAAGTGATTTAAACTAGCAATTGGCGATGCACCTGTTGTTAAATATACGACGCATTTTTGGTCGTGTTCAGTCATTGTTTCTTATAGCTTCAACAGTCTCGGCTTTACTTTCAACATTTTCGTTAGTTTTTACCGATCCTGTTTTGGGACAGGGAGAAACTGATGAAAACTTTAAAAATACATTAAATAATGGACTAAAATGTACAGATCTTCTTTTAGGACAGTATCCTTTTCATATACCTCATTTTAAATTTACATTATGTTATTTAGTGATTTATTTGTTATCATTAAGTTAAGTGTCGCAAAGTAAAGTGACCTTTTTTAAATTTACACTGAAAATTTACCATCTTACTCTACTAATTCTTATGACTTATAATAATAATAATATTATATATTAAAGATTGAGTTGTAACTGAAATTCTAAGAGAGGACATAACTAATATTAATAAATTAAACTTACGTTGGGCACACTTGATCAGATTGATACAAGCCAACTGTTTTATTTTGTTTCGCACACATTAATAAATGAGAGATGACAGCAAGCTCTCTCTGCTGATCAGTAGCTTAATGTTTTCCTTTTCTTTATAGGCCAAAGCTGTTCACTATGTAAAAAACGCTTTCAGAGTGTAGATTTTGTCTGTTTTGTTCAAATTGATACACCACACTCACACCTTTGCATGTTACTTTTTTGAAATTTGACAATTGTATTATTTTCTTGTTATGAACACTACGTTAAGTTACTTTTTCATGTTAGTTTACATACTGATCATCATCATCAGTGGCACTACAGCCCATGTAGGGCCCTGGCCTGCTCCACCACATCCTTCCACTCGGAGCGATCCATGGCTTTCCGTCTCCATGCTCGAACCCCCAACTGGTGTAAATCTGTCTCCACATCATCAATCCACCTCATCCTTGGGTGACCTGTGAGTCGTCTGCCCCTAGGTTTCTGCCTGTATATAATTTTGGCTGCTCTGCATTTCGGCATTGTTACGCACTGACTTATATTGGGAGAAATTAATCCCCTATTTTAATTTTAATTGGCTCGTTGTTAACAGTGCCTAACAAAGGACGATACATAGAGTCAACAATATTAAAGATACGACACCCAAAACAGTTGTCAGTTACAATTAAGAAGATTTATTAAGTCTTAAGATAATTACAAAAGAAAAGAAAATATAATTACAATCTTCAACTTACAGTATGGTAGATCTTGCACCAGTACACAGTTAACACAGTTAGAATAATGTGCCAATAAATGATGCGAAATAAACACATATGAGCACACAAATACACAAAGAATAAAACACGCCTCGTAAAGTTAATAAAATCTATCTGAATCTCCGTCCCTCCGTCCGTGCCTGTCAATCCCTTATATAGGTCGCGTAAGCCCTGCCTTCCAGAAGACTTATGACGTTTCTAGAACTATCACATTCATTCTGCAAAATACTATTTGGAACAGATTAATTATTTTTAGTGGTTGGTGGCATAAACACGACAGATCAAACAACTAAGCCACACCCCTCTGTGAACACAGCGTCTCATGCGGGGTCAATCAGAGGGCACGCACGAGAAAAATTATGTAAACAAGCTGTTATATAGCAGGCATCCTTTCAACGTGACCTGCCCAGCGTATTCTGCCTTTTTTATCATTGTGACTATGAGTGGTTCTTTGTACCAATAGTAAAGTTCTTGGTTTGTACGTATTCTCCAGATATCATTTTCTGTCACTGGTCCGTATATTTTGTGGAGGATTTTCCTATCTAAGTAATTCCTCACTGAGGCGGGCCAAGGCACCTGCTCTGTATAAACTGAGTACATTCCAAGTCGCTATCCATATGTCATGTTTGTGGTCAGGCATGGGTCGAAATCCATAAATATCAGTCCGTTTTTCTGATTGTGGTTTTACTTTTGTAACATTAGCTTTTTTACGTGACAGGGTCATCAGCCCTGCGCACAACCGTCTGGGGGGAAGCCTCTTGCAGCTCTCAGGGTAGCTGCCTTTGTATTGGGTCGGGTCCCTAGCCTTTGTGGATCCCTCCACTTCCTATAAGGCAGTAGGTACTGATTTTGGTCCGCCCCGGGTATTTTATTTCCTCGGTACCCTCCATATCTGGTGGGCTTTCCCCTATCCACCACCTGGGGAGGCGCTCGATGGAAGATCAGTATCTCCTCACAAGTTTACATACTGATACATTATCAAAAAAATGTTTAAAATAAAATAAACTAATTTAACTAGTCACTCATAAGTGATAACACATTAGTACACTGCGCTCGGTCTCATTGCGCATGCGCCGGAAGGTTTTAAAGGCCTACTTTAGACTATCAATACTGCTATAATATATTAATATCACTATGATAGTCTATGATCTCACTATCATCATTTAAAACAGAAGAGTCACTAAACTATGACTATCTATGTTTATCAAGTTTTGAATATTATGACAAGTTTTTTTTTTTACAAATTTACTTTGAATTCATTCTAGATTTTGTGAACTTTTTTTGGTTTAAACCAGTGTTAAAAAACAAAAAAAGGAAATCTTATGATGGCAGCAGTTTTTTTTCTCCAATTGGCACTAATATATTGCCCATTGGAGTACTATCTGATAACTATATGAGTTACTCTTTACAAACAACTTGCCAGATATTTATGTGCAGAGCCAGTTATTGATCCAGAGACACAACAGCCAATAGGATGTTCTAAAGATAAAAAATATGTTAATGGTATGTTACAATTTCATTATTTCACTTTATAACCTTTTAGTCATATAGATTTTTAAAACTGAATTTTATCTTTTTAGGCCAATAACTTGTAAGGATTTCACTTACATTTTCAGTTAAAGAAAGCTTTCGAATAACTATTACACCATTTGCATACCTTCTTCCAGTATCTTTGTTATATGTTATGTGGTAAACAATTGCGGAAGCACCTAATATAAATTTGTAGTTGAAATCAAAATTTGTAAAACATGACTTTAAAAATTTATGTTATTAAATGTACCTAGGAAAAAAATATAATTATACAAATCTCCTTTGACCTGCTCATGAGCCAACCACCCCAAGTGAAATATTCCCCCCCCCCCCCCCCCCCAAAAGTCAGCTTTCGAATGAGTAAATATGGTGCAAACAATTACATTAAAAGATTTTCAATGCATAATATATAATTTTTTAACTAACAGTGGATGATGTAGAGGGCAGATTCATTTGTTATTAGCCAATATAGTAATCAGAGAAACTCTTTATTTTTATTATCATATTTCAATTTAAGAAAAATCTAAATTAAATTCCATTATTTATGTTTGCTTAGCTCTTAAACAGATGATAGTTAAAACATTTGAACTATGATTTTCATCATTACAGTCTTTTACAAAGTTTTCTGCTCAGAATGTAAAACAAAAAAAAATTCAGTTAATTAACTATATAGACTATTACATTTATAATAACATAATGATTGTTGAAATTAAGATAAATATTGTGTATTAATTCTTCTGAATTCTAAGTGAGATATCCTAGAATCAATGCTATACATACATATGTACACTAACATATACATCTGTTCAAACTTTACCAATATGTTTAATATTTCAGTTTTGTGTAAAAGTGCTCCCGGTATTGTTTGTGATGGACAATTTAACAATGACTCATTCTATAGAACAGTTCCTTGCAAGTGGACGTAAGTAACCATTGATCTGTGGACATTGGAAGTCTCTTTCAAATAGTTACCTGAAATTAAAATAATTTACAGCTTAAATATTGTAAGCTATGTATAACTGTGTGCAAGATTACTAGGTGTTTTAACATATCAATTTTGTTTATATAGGAGTGGGCATTCTTTTGAGACTGCACTCCTGCTTTCAGTGTTTTTGGGGATGTTTGGAGTGGATAGATTTTACTTAGGCTATCCAGCCATTGGTAAGATATGCTTATTTCCTGAATAGTTAGAAGAGGGTTGGAATGATAATGCTCAAGAAGATTAAAATACAAAAAGTATAAAGTAACATGATGAATCTATATTTAGTGGCTTTCTTGTAATACTTCTTTAAGCACTGTACAATTCTAATACACTTTATTAATTCTTGAACTTTATATTTTCTATATGTATGATTTTCAGTTGTTTCTTTTTGTATGGGAGAAAATTTGTAAAGCCACAAAAGAGTTATGGCCCATAAGGCACTTAACCAAAATGATGTTTCAACTTTGTTTTGTAGGACTTCTGAAGTTTGCAACTTTAGGATTCATGTTTTTGGGACAATTGATTGATATTTTACTGATTGCTACTCAGGTAATTGGGATTTTTTCTGTCAATTTTATAAATAACAGTCCACAATTTGCTCAGCAATGTATTTTAACAGTTTATATCTAATACTTATGTGAAAAAATCACATTATAATTGTTGCTTTCCTCCTCTCAAAGAAAATCATTTACAGTTAAAACAGAAATAACTGCATAATTATTTTGTAAAAAAACAGTTTATGGTGATTTTGCTACTAATCGCCATGTGGTCGTTAATATTAACGAGACTATAGCATAGCGGCGTTTTAATTTTTTTTCTAAAGTTCCAGATCATGACAAAAATAAAAATGCATTTAATTTACTTGCTTCAAATAAACATTATTTCACTGCAATAGAATGCACAAATGTTGATACTTTCATTTTATTTTCAGCCTACAACTAAATTTTATTCATATAACAAGTATTTTCATTAGATTGACATTACATTTCTTCAGGTACTCACTCCATCAGATGGCTCAGCCTACGTTCTGGATTATTATGGGGCAGCAGTAGTCAGAATTTTTAAAGATAACGAAACATATTTATTTACTGAAGACTGACAGTGTACATGTGACATTGTGATAATGATTGTAATTTGATTAAACAATTATTCTTTATTGCTTTCTAAGAATGGCTTTTTGTGTGAATAATGTGTATTAAATGAATTCACTATATACTTCATGTTAAAAGAACATAATGCAAAAGTAACCACAGTTTTTGTATTTAAGGTTGTAGTTTAAACAATTTAGAAATTTTATCTTACACTTACTTAAGCTGTATATTATTTTGTATATTATTATTTGCTTTAAAAACAAAACATGTATAATGAGTTTATATTTTAACATGACAGTCATCTGAAGCATGTTTTGATAAAAAAATGTTTAAATGTAAATAAAAAAAAATAAAATCTTGAATATGTCCTTGTTTTTTTAAATTTACTTATATTTTAAAAAAACATTTACATCCTTTATATAAAAATATATATTTTCTCTTTCAAAGTGCCTCAGATAAACAAAAAATGTTTTTTGTGAAGTAAATGTGAAAGAATGTTGTAAGTAATTATAAGGTAACAAAAATAAGCAATTTTGCATATTATATTTTAAACAATTAAAATTATATTAATAGAAGCTACACAACGTTAAAATGCTTGTTATACAAGGATATGAAAAGTAAAATTTCATGTTTAACTCAAAATGTTGATTGGATCTTTCTTGTCTTTTTAATAACACAACACCATGCACAAGTTTACAGACCTTGTATTTGGACACATAGTGTTTTTATTTTAAATAAATAATTTTTACCTTGTGGCAGCTGTAATCTAGCTGTCTTTGAGTAGACAGGCACATTTTTAATCCATTTGCAAAGTTTGCTGCTGTCTGAGATCAGTGGTTGAAATTTTTTATGGTGTTTAAATTAATTCTCTTCAAGTAAAGCCATATCATTGAGCTTTTGAGTCCAATCTATCCAGCTATATATAGCTGTTGATGACTCCAGGCAAAATAAGCTGCTATCAAATTGTTCAGAGGTTAAAGTTACCAATATGCCTCTGGGCTGATAAATGTTTTCACTCCTGATTACTTTTTAGGGTTAGTTACATCCAAGATAAAGTTATTCTTTTCCAAAATGATTTTATCGTAGTGGCTTGATTATAAGGCTAGCTGTGAATTATCAACCACTCTATAATGATATTTTGTTAAGGGACTGCAGAGCTTTAAAACCCGAAGGTGGTATTGCAATCATTTTCATTAGAAATCTGGAATAAAAATACTTAAAATAAATGTTGCTTCGCTTTTTTATAATTTGATTTAAAAAAACAAACTGTACAATATCTAAACAGGACAATGTAATATTTGAAAGTAAGAAAATAATTCTTCAATTGAAACTCAAAAGTCTTCCTTTTTGCACATTTGCTCCCAACCCCCCCCCCCCCCCAATTCCCTCATGATCCTTTCAAATTTGTTGATGTCCACATATAGACAAATGCAAATAAATTGGGTTTCCAAGAACAGATATACAGAGTTATCAAATTTTATTTTGAGATAAAAATGAAAGAAAACTAACAAGACATTAAAAAATGAAAAATTAGTTTATTTTCAACAAAAGAAATTTTTAGTTACCGTACAAAATACAACATTGTTGTATTGTTAGTAACTCCAGACACAAATATTGGTCTTGAAATTTTTGTCAGATACACTTATTATATCGTAAATTATATCCGACAGGGTAGTAAAAAAAAAAAAGGCATCAGGATAAATAAAATATTAAAATCAGAAATATTATCACATATAATTGCATTGATAAATATCAATCAACTTGTAATTTTAGGCACATCATATATCAGTTACATGATTCATTTGTTCATCCCAATAAACATAAAATATTACTCCAAACAAATTATTTTGTTAAAATTCTTATTTTCCTGACTTAAGTTCTTAGCAATGAATGAAATGAAAATAAGTGAAGCCGCACTACTTCATTTTTCCCCATTCAGTTGCAAAGTTTTGACAAAAGCTCAAAAAGTAGTTGCTTGCCTAAGCTGCTATTTAAGCAATGTCAAACTTCAGTCATGGCCAAGCCCATTTAAATCTTACAAACTACAGACTTGATTATTTTAACTAGCAAACACATACATGACACAATTTCATGTTCGTTCAAACTTTATATTTTCTCAGTTTAGAGTGACATCAAAAGCTTATTTGAGATGGAACTTTTTGCTGGGATCCTTGGCGTGGTCTTGAAGCAGTTGGCACGGTTCAAACTCATCACCAAAGATATCACGGTACTTGAACATTCGGTCGACAAATGGCTTAGCTCCGTTAATATCAATGTAACGGAAGGGGCCTAAAATAGAGGGGGAAAAAATGTTTTCATTTCTAAATACCCAACTAAGTGATTTTGGTTTTCAAGTACAGGTATTTTATAACACTTAAAATGAGTAAATTATTTTAAAAGGTACTCATTTGTTTGCTCGATGTCAAAAGTCATTTTTTTTTTTTTTCATTCAGGAAATAAAATTGAAGATGTTTTAAAACCATTGTGCAGTTCTGATGATTTTCAGTGGCTTGGCTAAAATACATTATGATTTTGAGATGTTTTATTTTATTTTAGCATATGGAAAGTAGGTCTTCAAAATCTAATTAATAGCAAAGATGTTGATGATGTCTGTTTTTTAAATAAAAAATTTAACTTACCTCCCAAAAATGGTGGAAACCCTAGTCCAAAGACAGCACCTATGTCACCCTCCAGCTACAATGACAAATAAAGATGAAATTAGCCGAATGATTTTCACCAATTTTGTTTAAATGATTACAGAAAGCCATGCACAAAAAAAATATCAAAGCATATTTCATACCTAGAACAAGTGTGTATAGGGCCCATCTGTATCATAAAAATCATATAATACCAGTAACAGACCTGTTTACCCTCAAACTTTTAAAATCGTACAATATCATCACAAAATCGTTCAATATATTGCTGGCATCCGTCCGTCATAATGTGACGATGGAGTGGGCTACGGAGGACGAAATCCACATGGCCTGGGATTATACTTTAAGGATTATAAGCTGGTTCCCAACAGCAAATCGCCTCTCTCCACGCCGCTGGCTAACCCAAGGGAACATCATTGGATGATACAGCTTGGCACCAGTGACATCACAGGATTTTTCATTGTATCAATGTTATCCGCCTTTCAAGACTCCATCTCCGGGTTTGATTTCAGAGTTTCCTTCTCGTAGATGAGTTGCCATCCAAGGTTAACGAGTCCCATCTACCCGGGGTGCTGGTGGTGTTTTTGCTTGACTGGGCTCTGGAATTGAACTCCAGACCACCAACTTGAGATTTGCTCAGTTTAGACCACTCGGCCACCCAGCACCCATTCAATATATTATCTTAATAGTAAAAAAATAAACATACAGTATATATAATGTATACACCTCAAAATCGTACATTGTATGCCAAAATCGTAAGAGTAAACAGGTCTGCAGTAATCATTTAAAACACAGTTATTGCCATTAAGTAAGAAAAAAAAGAAAAAATTATGGCAGGTGGTTGGTAGTTAACCTTGTATAATATTCCAATGCTCATGCCTATATGTTAGTCATGCAAGTGGTGGCTGCAGATAAACAGTGTTTCTTCACCAGCAACACTCAGGGGGATAGAGTGGAGGCAGGCAGTACTCAGGGATTTCATGAGAGTACAACTTATACTATGTGTGACACTCTAAGCTAGGAGTACTTAAACTACGTTCCACTGGTCATATCTGGTGTGCCAGGGATCCCTAACCCGGCCAGCCTGGTTGTCATACGGGTACCCAGGTAGCAGTGACAAATATTGAACCAGACATTGACTTTCTATTAAGCAAAAGCAGTCCCATAGTTCCCATTGAAATACTCATAACTTTACAAGATTAAAAAATTTGAGGACACCTGGTCTAAGCCATTGCAATAAATCAACCTCACATCATTTAATAAGACACAAATTGAATAGATATAGCTCAATTCAAGGAATGGTTAATTTACATTTTTAATCAGTGACTTGATCATTTTTTTTTATATTAATAAAAGATCTTACTGGGTTAGACAAAATGCCTTCTTGAAGACATAGAACTGCTTCGTTGACTAATCTGGACAGCAAACGGTACTGAATGTCTTGATCAGTAAGGCTGAGAACAAATGCAGACAAAATAAAAATTGCCAACAGTAAAAATAAATACAAGTAAATGTGACATCTTCAAATAGGTAGAAATTGTTCTCTATCAGTGGCAAAAATATTAACTATTTCATATGGTGACTTGAAGAACTACCTTATTTTTTATTAATCCTTAAAAAATGTGTTTCCTTACCCTGCAGCTGGGGGGATACTAAATTGCTTAAGAATTTCTAAAGCTGTAACATTCTCTGGCTTATCTTTGCTTCCACTTTCATAGACAAACCATCCCTTCCCCGACTTGCGACCTGTTTAAAAATAAACATATCACATGACATTATCGGTCTTCTTTATGTCAATGTCAAAAAATTCAACGACACATTTTAAAAATAAACATCATTTACCATTTGTTCAAAAAAAACAAATGAAGGATATCAAATTTAAGAAAACAGCAACACAAAAAAATAATAGGCACTGTATAAAGAACACAACATTTCATCAGTTGCAGTAAATGGGAATTGTTTTCATCTTTTAAAAGCAATTTTAAAAAAAAGAGAATCATCCATTAATTAAAATCAATGAGACTTATTTTACTGCTTCAGATCAATAAATATAAATCATATTTGTAAGTAGACTTTAGAAAGCCTGTAAGATTAAGGATAATAAATGAAATTGAAATATAAAGACCACAATATAAAGATAACGTTTCAGCTAAGAGCCTTCTTCAGCAGACAGGACAAAAAAAGAAACAACAAAAAAAATGAAGGATTGCGTTCAAGCTGTGTGAAAGAAACAATTCAAAAACTCAAGTGTTTGGAGTATTTTTCACAGTAATTCTTTTCTTTAACTAAAATCTTTTGATAGAAAACGTATTTAGTGGAAAACCCAACTTCCGGCAATAACATAGCATTCATGGCAAACTGCAAACACTTAAGTTTTTTTAACTATTTTCTATTTTTTTGTTGTTTCTTCTTTTGTCCTGTCTGCTGAAGAAGGCTCTAAGCTGAAACGTTATCTGTATGTTGTCATCTTTATATTTCAAGGTTCTTTATACCTTGTTCCACTATTTCCATCTGTAAGAAGAAGAATATTTCAGCTTCTAAAGTATGTGTTAATGATAATTGCTACACACTAATAAATATAACAGTTTACCTAAAAAGCCTTGAGCAACCATAGTCTTCAGGACTTCGGGATTGCCACCTTTGAACCTGTTACTAAAAGCCTTTGAGAGATCTTCTGCCACATGGGCGGCCACATCTAGACCAACTTCATCAATGAGAGAAGCAACTCCAACAGGGAATCCCAAGTCTTTAGATAGGGAGTCTAGTTTCTTGGGGCTTGTGCCTTCCTGAAATTTTAAACCTGGTATTAGTATTAGTATTAGCACATCAAAATGAAGTGCATTATCTCCAGAAAGTAACAAACCTGATTACTGCAATGTCTGTAAAATAACTATTTTAAACGAATCAAAAACTTAATAATAATATAATAATAATATGAGTATTGAAATTTGTATGTAAAAAAAATGTTACAATAATTTGTCACTCTTACTCCAATAGGTTGCAATATGAAGGTTAAAAAAAAAAATGACATTTTTTTTTTACAGGAAGATTTGTTTCAAATGAAAAGGATGTAACATATAAGACATTGATAGAAGCCCACACACTGAGTCTAATGCACTAGCATCAAGAATTTGTTAAGATTATTTATTGTTATTTAACAATCCCATCCCCAAGTTTTGAGATAAGTTAAATTAGATTAGAATTATCAGAGTATTTTTCAAGAGAGATAAGACTGAACCTGGAGCACTCTGATATTTTCCAATAAAACCGGTGCTAGGATTCTTGTTGTGTAAAACCCTGGACCATCCTTGACAGTGATGACAACTTTGCCTTGTCTTAGACCAAGGTCAACAGCAGCAGCTGGAAGTGAAAACAAAAAAAACAACAACAACATGAAAGTCAAAACATTTGTAAACATTAGAATCTTTATAAACTGTCCTGCTACCAAGGGTATTATATCAGCTGCATGACATTTTTAGAATTGTGTATTATAATAGTTGGAAACAAAGAGTTACATGCATACCTGATACTTCCTTTGATGTCTTATCTGTGGTGATGATTTCAAGGAGCTGCATTTTGTCAACAGGAGAGAAGTAGTGCATGCCAATAACCTGAATCAGGTGGGGGGGGGGGGACGACAAACAGTTATATCCTTATTTTAGCACAAAAAAACTAAAGTTCTATATGAATAACTTTAAATGTAGTGCATGCCAATAACCTGAATCAGGTGGGGGGGGGGGGGACGACAAACAGTTATATCCTTATTTTAGCACAAAAAAACTAAAGTTCTATATGAATAACTTTAAACTACTGTTGCAACTAGAAGAAATATTTTTCAGAGATCATTTTTGTTGCCAGATCTTGTTCATTATTACTGATTCTATTCTATTTTAATTTTTCATCCAAAGATAGGAAATGAAGATTTACAAATTATACAATATTAAATACCCTTGCGTAAAAACTATTTTAAAAAATTGAGCTACTGCTTCTACTAAATATAGACTATAGAGTATAAGTAAATCTAAAGTCTTACATTCTGTGGTCGTGAGCTCCCAGCAGCAATTTTAGAAATTGGAAGTGCTGATGTGTTTGATGCAAATATACAGTTTGGTGAAATGTGCTGAAAGTATAATTTTTTTTATCTTGTGCTATAATTAAAGCAATTTACATTTATGTCAAGCTGTCAACATTTTTCTGTTTGCTCAAATAAAGGAGCATACCATTACATGTCACTCCACTACATGTTCATCAAAACATATAAGCTAGTTTACCATTACACAATTGATTTAAGGCATATGGAACTGTCCCCGGTATACAAAGAGAAGATATCATAAACATTTAGCAGCACCAGACTGATATGAAGTATTAAAAAAGCAACAATTTCAACAACAAAAATTACCTTTTCTAACTCTTGGATTACTTTGTGCTTAATGTTGATATCTTCAAAGACAGCCTCCACAACAATATCACAGTTTTTGAAATTATTGTAGGTCAGGGTTGGATCTAGGTTGGACAGGATTATTTCTCTCTCAAATCTTTAAAGAAAACAAAAACCATTTTCGAGAGCTGAATTTGGATTAAACATTCAGATACCAATATTCTAAAACTCCTACCAAAGTATTTAAACTGGATCCTGGAAAGAGCTATTGAACCTGCAACCAGTGTGCCTGGCTTAGAAGAAATCTTTTGTACTTATCTTGATATAACGCTGATGAAATAAGGATATTTATTTATGTACAATAACTTTCTTTTAAATAATTTATGCATTGCTGTCAACATTAAAACATAACTCAGTGATTCTTTTCATTTGTGGCACTTAAATTAGTTTCTGTCAATGTTCTACATCAGTGTTCCAAACTTTTTGACTTGTGGAGCCCCTTTTCAGAATCAATGACTATGGGGAAAGTCCCTTACGCCTAGACACTGCAGAGACCTGAGAAGTGCAAGCAGAGTCATCAGGGCTTCTCAGAGCACAGGATGGGAACCACTGTTCTACATAATTCAAATTATTAGTATTACCTTAATAGGTTAAGAATAATGACAGCATCTTGAAACAAGATTTTGTAGCTGCCACAAAGTGACATAACTCCACCATGACCGGACCCAAGCCCGGGTGCAAAAGGTTGAGGGTTGGTGTGAGGCTAGCTACCTCAACCATAGAAAACAAAGATTATACTGGAAGCCTCAAACGTGAGGACCCTCCTTTCAAAGAAAATATGGAGGTGTATAGGGCACACTCTTCGTTAAAATCACCAGACGATCCCTAACATGGAATCCACAGGGAAAAAGAAAAAGGCATAAGAATACATGGAGATGCACACTAGAGGCAGACACAAAAAGTATGGGATAAACCTGAAAGCAACTGGAAAGGAAAACACAGGACAGAGACGAATGGAAAATTCTTGTGGTTGGCCTATGCCCCAGACAGGGTAAAAGGCATAAGTAAGTAGGGCAAAGTGATATATGCCATAAAAATAAAAACTTGTAAATATATTGCATATTAAAAAAAAAAACTTACGATGAAATCTTCTTCCTTTTAACTGCCCCATCTAAACCTTTTTGTATTTGATCTTGACCTCTTGCAAGTCCATTAACAGACATGTCTTTCAGCAAAACCTGTAATCATATAATAATTTTTACACATGAAAGTAAAACCCCCAAAATTAAGACCAAATGTTTGTAGATGTTTTAAAGCTATGAACTAGAATATAAAAATTGAGCAATGGTCTACATTTGTCCCCACTTAATCGGGTAGAATCCTGAGCCCTGTCTATTAATTTGCTGACGTCATTTTGGGGCTTCAGTTGAGTATGAGTGCTCAACATCATTTGCACATAAATTTTACTTTATATCTATAGATGAAAGTGTATCATAAATTAAGGTTAAATTAAGGGTTTTCAACCAAAGGTATGACTATTCCGGTCAATTTGTAATAATGTGTGAATGTAGTAGAAGAGTGTGGCATAGCAGGGAAGCTATGACCCAGTCCCTTCCACCTAAATCAGTATGGTAATATGAGCCAAATATCTTAGCGCATGCCAGGTTGGAAGATTCTGATTAGTGAGGTTTCACAAATGTACAGATTGCAACAAGGTGTAAAATACAATACATATTTTAAATTATCAAATAAAATAGTCAAGAAATCCAATAAAACATTGAAATCCCTGAGTATGTGGGTAAATGTAATGTTACCTGATGCATCATGCACCTTTCATGACAATTTAATTGTTACCTTTATGCCTTTGTCAATAGACACCTGGGCTATGCCAGCACCCATCAGACCAGCTCCCAAAATACCAATAGTCCTAGGATGACAAAAAAAGCTATTGCTTGATAGAATCCTACACATATGGGAGCCTTTGGACTTGATTATATGGAGCAGGAAATTGTAATTTACATATTTTTAACTAACACTCAATATGAAGGCAACTTGTAAGTTTGCCATTATGTGTATCATCAAGATAACAAGTACAAATATTTGGCATTTACTTGATAAGTGCAATTAGACATGACTAAAACAGATTCAACATTAGTGTAAGTACTTTGCTGATGTTTTAGGCTTTCCAAATGGATTCTTTTTGCAGGCAGTTTGTCCATGAAACAAACCAATCAGAGCCTTGGACTGAGGGGTCATGGCAAGATCAGAAAATCCCTGGAGACAAATATACAACAGGTTGACTTATTGATATTGCATCATGTATATTTTCATGGCATCAGTTTATCAATGAAAACATTTTTACATAACCAAACTGATCTGTTTATGGTCTCAAAAAGTGTAATATCTAAAACAAAATTGTCAAACTGTGGATATAAACAACTCTCACTAACTGATGATTATACAATTATATTTTGGAATAGAATTTCATCATAGTGAATGCATTTTAGGTGGACTTCTGAAAGACAACAAGGATGCTTACTTTGATTTCAATCCAGCTTTGTATTAAGAAAACAAATACTTACTTCAGCTTCAGCGTTGTACCCTGCTATTGCACCTTTGTCAAGCCCAGTTCTGACAACCTGAAGAGACATTATATAATGACATATATTTTCTCCTTATGTTTATTTAATTATTGACTAAATCTCATATCTGTTAAGAATACTTGAAAGAAAATGAGAGTTCAAAAATGAAAAATTTAAAATAAATAATTTACAGTTAGGTACCATTAGGTAAATGTAAAAAGATATATAAAAAAATAAATATCAAATGTAAAATTAAAATATGTATCATTTGGATATTTACGAAAATGATTTCATAAAAATTGATTGAACTTCCATTAAGTTCAAAATAACTGTCTGCAAAAATTGGACTATTTGAGTTTTCATTGAAACTTAAATTTATTTTAACATCAGATGAGTGAGATATAACAGATATAATATACAGTAGTTAGATTTCCCTCAGCCCTGATGCTGCAACTAATTATGGCAATAAAACCAAATAATATAATACTGTATTCAAAATAGAAAGGGAGAAATAATTGTAACAAACACAAAGAGAATGTTGACCAACCTCAATAATTTTCAGGGGAGCCGGATAGAGGCCTCGAGACATTTTCATCACTTGATTTTTTGCTTTATTAAACACAAAATTTTTTCCAAAGTCATACTTGAGCAGGAGGTCCATAATTTCTGTGGAAAAAGTAAACAAAAATAGATTTTTATTTTTTAATAGAAAATAATTTTGTTTGTCCTTAAAACAAATTTAACTCATTCTCCACAAGAATATGCCCCAATACATATTCCATTTTTCAGTCTGTTTATAAGCTCCTTGTCAACACTCTGTTTTTAATAAAGGGCAAGGTAAATATTTAAATTAAACACATTTCTTACTGTCTTGTATTCCTTTCTTTTTGGGTGTTCTCTTCAGAGAGCCTGATGCCAAGTCTCTAGAAATAACATAACAATCGAATGATAAATATACACAGGAAAAAAAGTTGATTATGAAAGATAAAATTATCAATGGTCAAAACGACAATTTCATATTAAAGCTCTTATTTCAATGATAATGAATAATGGGGAATTCATTTAAAAAAAAATAAAAAAAATTGAACATGCTTAAAGGGATTAACGAGTTTATACAGACCAAAATAAAAAAAAATGAAATGTCGCAAAATTATTCTAAATAACTAAATTTTATATTACATGAATAGGCAGAATTTACCTAGCTGATTGTACTGCTATCTGTTCCAAGAATTTCAATGTGTTTGTATCTGGGTCAGCTAAACCAGGACCTAGATAATTTTTAAATAAACTTCATTAGGTAATATCAAATTAAATTTCACTAATAGAATCAGGTCTTTTATTTATTATGTTTACAATTTAACAAGCAAATTACACCAAGCTTAACACTAATATTGTACCAGTAACTTCAATAGGAAATTTTGTATAATTTATTGACACAATTTGTTGATTCAAGTAAATTCTGTTTGACATTTTGAAACATTAAAAAAATAATTAGACATTTAACACATAAAACACAACAATAAAACATGCAAATGCAGCTACCCACCTAATGGCTGCACTGTCAGGTCAACAAGGCCTAGTTTTTTAGCTTTGTCAGCTTTAATCGTTTTTCCTGTTAGCATCAGGTCTAAGGCATTGGGAACTGAAACCTGGCAGTGAATATTTCAAGGGAAAATCTTCATAGAATGACTATGTAATATTACGTATTTAACTACATTGATGAGTTAGAATATTAAAAGAATCCAAGTTAGCTAAAAAGACATACTCTCGTACTTATTTTCAGGTGGATTTAATTAAATTAGGTCGATACTGCCTTGTAATATATAATACGGGGAGGGCTGCATTAAATTGAAATAATTACGAAGAATAGTCATTTTTCACACATTTTGTGGAGGTTATTAAATTTAATTTAGAATGTTTCACAAAGTTCTTTAATGTTCGAAGAGGATATATAGTGGGGTCTAATAGCTTTTGAAATGTTAGTTTACTTCTATTCATTTCTATTGAAGCAATAAGAAATATAAAACATTGTTTTATATTTCTTGAAAATACACAATACTAAAGTTTCGATAACCCTTTGCAAATAAAAAATTATTAAAATCTTCAAAAACATAGTGCATAAAAAATTTTTAATGTCTAGCAATTCAGATATCTAACAACTTTTTTAAAACATGAGAGATAACCAAAAACATGAAAGATAACCAAAAACATGAAAGATAACCAAAAACATGAGATGACCAAAAACATGGGAGATGACCAAAAACATGAGATGACCAAAAACATGGGAGATGACCAAGCATGAAACTGAAATCATTAAAGAAGGACCAAAACTTTTACTTTTTATTTCTTCACCAAATGAATCTTTAAATTTGAAAGAAAATCAATAGATTTCAAGTTACCAATTTGGGCAGTCGTTGTGTTCCACCGCCACCAGGCAGCAGACCCAACATCACTTCTGGCAGTCCTAAGCCTGTCTTTTTGTCAGCCACAGCAATCCGATAGTGACATGCTTGAATCAACTGTAAAAATGATTTATTATCATCAAGATTTATGATTATTTGTAAATATACCAGCATTTAAGTTAATGGGGGGTTTAAATGCCACAGACTGGCTCTAGTCAAATTATATGCCAAATTGGGCTTTGATTGTATTTAATTTTAATGGATGGCAATAATCGGTTTCAGATTTGGGGGGGGGGGGGGGGTGTATGAATCTTGTGCATAGGCAAAAAACTCTAGCAATGCCTCTAAGGCCACAAACTGTCTCTAGTCAGGTTATTTACCTCACAACCTCCACCGAGGCAAGTTCCCATAACTGCAGCCACAAATGGTTTTTTGCTGTTTTCTATCGCCTGAAAAGCTCTGTGTCCATTTACTGACAACTTTTTCACTTGCTCCTTGGTTTGGCATCCTTGAATCATGCTGGAATAAACACAAATAGTGATGGGAAAATTAAACATATGCAGCGCATCTAGTCATTTCTACTTTCACAGCATCACAGAAGTCATGAAATGTACAAAGTCTAAAGCTCTAAACGAACTGTAATGAAAAACTAGAAGAAATCACTCAAAGTTACTTGATATCAGCTCCTGCAATAAAGCAGTTGGGTTTGGAGGATATGATCACTGCAGCCTTGACTTTGTCATCAGTCTGCACAGTCTTAAGTGCATTTTCAAATTCATGCTGCAGCTCCGCAGATAAAGTATTTACCTTGAATAACACAGAAAATGTTACAAAACAAAGATAACAAAAAATTTGAGATAATAAGTAGTTTTCAGTGAAAATTTCTTATATTATCGTGGGTCTATTTTTTTTCCCTCAAATCTTGATTTCGCTTGAGCTAAGTTACTGTTTGTAGAGAAAAATTACAAAAACAAGATAAAGATATGAGTAGATATTCAACAAATATTTAGTGACATCTAGTATCTTTTTAAATTGTGTAGTAAGTTAGCTATTAGAATGAGTAAACTAAAACAACCAGTAAATAAGTAGGAAATGTATTCTTGAAAGGAGAAGCTGCTAAAAAAAAAATACATACCTTGGAATCAGGAGTATCAAAGCGCACAACTGCAACATCTTTTTGAACATCAACACTTAAATACTTTCCTGGGATAAGAAGAAAGTTTAACGATGAATGTTACAAAGAAAATTCAGAAATGAAAACATTTGTTTAAGGCGTTGTTGTCATGTGAAGTTAGTTTAATTGTTGTTTAAGCACTGAGAAAGGTATTTAGTAAGGTTTTAAGTCTCAGTTGGGTGAATATTATTTTTAAAAAGATTAAATTGGATTAAACTGAAATATATGTCACTGGTAATTGTTGTGCTCCGAATATTGTGTTTTTTGTGCGCTGTGTGTTTGAGAGAGTTAGTAGTTAATGAACTGAAAGAACCTTGTAGTGGATGAGTGTGCATTGTTTATCCTTCTTATATCACGCCGCATTAAACATGTGTTTGATAAATGTACAGCCTGATAAATATGTGTTCTTAAGTTAAATTGCCAATGGAAAAGGACTTGTGTTCATTTCAGTGTGATTACAACATATGAACTTGTAAAAGAATCTGATGAAAGAAGCCAATCAAATATGGAATTTTTGACACAGGACATTATGTCAGAGAGGAATATTCAATATTATGCGTGTGAGTAAAGACATTGGTCTTATGTTCTGAGAGAAAAGTTACCACACATTTTAAAAATTGACAGATTCTTGGAGAAAAATTTACAATGTATTATTTTATCTAAAAAAAGGTTTAAAAAATGAATTACATTACTTATAAAAAGCAAAGACAAAATTAACTTTAAAAAAAATCATTACTTTAATTCAAATTGGAAAACATATAATTTACTGCTTTTTTAAAATGTGTTAAATTAGCTCATGAGATAAATTTTAAAATTTTAACTAATTAGATGGACATGGATACCAGATGTTTATCTTACTTTCAAATGTGACAATGTCAATGATTGTGATTAATTAATTTTGAAAGGATTAAGTAAGGAGATCAAAACATGAGAAAATTCATAAATGTTCACTAAAGGAAGTAACCCATGTAATGATTTCCACCTAATGTCAATAAGAGATAATGTGAACCTTTCTTTGGTTTTGCCCAGGAAAAAAGCTATTCTATAACAGCAAACATGAACAAATCAGAAAAAAGGTTTATAGATAAATTAAACCAAATACAAAAAGTAAGAACACCTGGGCTTACCGTTCATAGCACTTGACAAACCAAAAAATCTGTTAAATTTATGACCTATAATTCAAATCCAACAAACAAAAATTGGTTAATTATTTTAAATGGTAGTCATTCAACAAACTTTAAAAATAAGCTCATAAAAATAAGCCATATTTTGTAAATGAAAAAATCATTAAATTAGCCTATGTATTTGATTTTAAGTAAAAAAAATCAGTTTTGCTAAAGTATGTTGGCATCTTTTAATTAGAATTGCATTGTTTAGCCCCTTGGGTGAAATTTTAATAAAAATCAAGAACAATTCCATATCTGATAACAACGAAAAGGTTAATAATTATTAAAATTTAAAAAAAGGAATTGTGATTGTTTGGGAAAAAGGTCAAGGCGTGACTGCATCTCATAGCTTTGAAGAGGTTTAGCATTCAGACCATAGAGGCCTTCAAAAATATTTTAAGCAGCAGAATTCACACCAGCCACTCTATGCTTCTATGCTTGTGACTTGGGAAAATGAAAAATCAAAACCAAAATAACTGAAACCTGAAACCCAATTGGCACATGAACCAGGTGTAATTTTTTTGTATTATAAGCTAGTACTTGCATTGTGCTAATTATTTGTCCTGATTTTGCCAAATAGAAATGAATATAACTAAAAGTTATGCTTGGCTTCAAAGTCATAGCTGTAAAAGTTACAAACTGATAGTTGAAATGTACTCAACAGTTACAAGATCACAGACACTATAACTAGAACTATTACAAATTGCATGTATGAAAGAAAAAAAAAAAGATTGCAAATAATAATAAAAATTAACTTTATTTGAATTAGCTCATTATTTTTTTACAATATTTTGGAAGTCTGCATTAGGGTTTCATCTTCAGGAGTTTAGCATGTTTCAGCTCCATATTTTTTACTACAATGGACCCCATGGTTAATTTACACTTTGAAGTTTAATACTTAACTAAGAAATAATTCAATTCATCCAAATTGTAACTAAGACAATGACTAGGCCAAAAATATGATAATGTCTAAAAAATATTTTCAATAGCTTAATTAATTAATCAATCTAATGTTTAATTGCAAATAATAAATTACTAACAACGGCTAATGTTAAGGACGGCTGCCACAGCCTCTTTTGGGTGTTTATTATAGTTGCAGTGAATTAGGATTTAGGTTAGGTCAGGTTGAGGGATCGATTTAGGGTTCAGGTTAGGCATAGGGATCTATTTAGGGTTCAGGTTAGGCATAGGGATCGATTTAGGGATACATTCGTGAAATTCGATAAAATAGTGGCTGTCGTCCTTAACATTTACCCTAACAACAACTAACTTTCAAATATTTTAATGTAGGCCTATATAAAAAGGCTATAAATATATAACCCTAATTAGTAATTATATACCTATCAGCCTAATAGTAAGTAGTAGTAGTATGACTACTATCACTATCACTGTACTATTTAGTATTTTTTTATTTATCCTTTTTTTTAGGACTACTGGATTTACTACCTACAGTTTCAAACGCCTTTTAAAAATTTTATTTACTTTTAAGATAAAACAAGTTTTGTTATCAATAATTGTATTAATTAAATGCTCTTTGAATTAAAATTGGTAGTTAAGCAGATAGGAAGCCCAGGATTCTTGTCTGTGGTTCATGATAGTTCATTGAAGACCAAGTCCAAGGTTCACTCTATCTATCTATCATTCTTTCAATCAATGGGTGGTTCATTCAACTCCATCTAAATCTAAAAAGCCTCAATGATGAAGTTATCCGTTTGATTAGATATAATTATGTCTTTCAAGATTCTGAATAAGTAAAATGAATTGGAATTTATTTTTAATCACTGAATTAGTTTTCTTTTACACCTGACATTTATTATAAATAGGCTAACCGTTGTCAGTGTTTAATTATTTGGACCGAATTACTTTTTTTAAGAAACCCAAGTAAACAATACACGGCTACATTACCTGTTGGTACTGTAACTGTGAAAATAGATCAACATTAATGCATAAAAAATTACGATTAATTTTAGTTAGCTTCAAATACCAAACTTACAATGAGCTGCTGTATCAGGACGAAACTTGGAGGCCAAACCTATAAGCCTGAAACTTGCCATGATGTTGCTATCACTGTTGGCACTGTTAGAGCTAAGTAGAGCTGAACCTTGATCCCTGGTATTAAAAAGTAGAAATTCATTGAGTGAAAGTATTTGAAGATAATGAAATAAATAATTATTTCGAGCGATTATTTGAGTTGTATGTTATGAATGGTAGAGAGAGAGAGAGAGAGAGAGAGAGGTGACAGAGAGAGAGAGAGAGAGAGAGAGAGAGAGAGAGAGAGAGAGAGAGAGAGAGAGCGGGGAGAGAGAGGAGAGAGAGAAAGGTAGAGAGAGATAGAGATGGTTTAAAATACAAATATCTACAAATAAATATTGTAGTATTGAGAGAGTATATGAGTGTGATGTAATGAATGGGGGAGAGAGAGAGAGAGAGAGAGAGAGGGGAGAGAGAGAGAGAGAGAGAGAGAGAGAGAGAGAGAGAGAGAGAGAGAGAGAGACCGAGGAGAGAGAGGAGAGAGAGAAAGGTAGAAAGAGATAGAGATGGTTTAAAATACAAATATCTACAAATAAATATTGTAGTATTCGGAGTTCTGTGAAACATTCAAAATAATAATTTTAAAGAAAAAATTAAAAGACTTACAATTCGTGTGTATAGGCCTACTCAGTAGCATCGGAAAAGGGGGAGTCTGCCCCGGCACCCATATTGAAGGGGGTGGGGACAAAGCCGTCTTAATAGGAACACCATCCAGATGGATATGAGCTATTATTATTTGCAGATAGAGTGAATTTTTACATTTAAAATTCAAGTTTTATCCTTTGAGTTATTTTTGTGTGCGTAAATAATTGTTTTTATCAGCATTTTAACGTCAATGTTCTTCATGATTTCATTTTCCATGCACATGAATGAAAGCCATTTAAAACGCTGCCGCTCCATTGCAATGTGAAGCTGTCTCTTTTGTTTATGAGCTTCTTGAAAAGAACGTTCCCTGTGACGTCTTAACAGCAAAAGTTTCCCGTTGGCAAAGTAATACTCCAGGCCCCTTAATCCTCTCGTATCAATTATCAATTCCAGTAATGTTACGAAAGGTCTTTTAGGGCCAATTTGGCCCATGTGGCATCACCAGTGCCAGTGTTTCTTTCAGAAAGTTTAATCATGGAAAAGAGGGACCCGGGGGGGGGGGGGGCAGTGTTTCTTAAAAAAGCCCTTGTTGGGGGGGGAAGTAAAATGAATGTTGTCCCTTGGCGCCAAACTCTCTAGTTACACCTCTACCAGGCGTAAAAAGGGGAGATAGGGAGTCGCCAGCCCATGAGCTAATTTTTAATTATTTGGAACGGTGGCATTTTTAGGATAACAGCAGAGTTTGTATCGTGAAAGGGAGTGCATAGGTAGTGTCTGTAGAAATTGTTTGATTATTTCAAAATGAAGAGGTGCATTTTCGAATATACTTGATTTGAGTGTTTCTATAGATCGGGGGAAGGAATTTTTTAAACATCTGGGGCGTGGGGGTGGGTGGGCATTAAGGCGCCCAGTGCCATACATAAACTGAATTCCCTCCAGTTGTGGTTCACCCCGAATTACTTATTTGGCCAACCCTTAGATTCAACCCCGTACTGTCACACTGATCAGCGTTAGGAGAGGGGAGCGCAGAAATTGACGGTGTCTAAGACTTTTGGGCAAATTAAAAGTACCGGTACAGGGATGCATTTTGCGCATACTTGAATTCGGTGTTTCTTTTAGACATTTTAAGAGAGCATTTCAGACTTTCAGATGGGAAGCGCCAAAATTTGTCATAATAATGGTCAAAAATATTTCCAACTCAGCCCCAGTCCAATGTTTCATTCCCCAATTCATTCGAGTTGCTGCGCCGTAGATGGTATGCTTTTTGCCCTAGGTTATTCCGGCCCAAGGGTGGACTGAGGTGCCGGGACACCGGGAAGATTCCCGATGGGCCGCTAGGACCGGTGATATAATAAAAATAAAAGTCATGAAGATAGGGCCGCTTTTTTTTTTTTTTTTCCGGGCCGCTTTGATTTTTTCCCCGGCCCGCTTGAACTCCCCAGTCCCCCCCTGTTAGGACCGGTGATATAATAAAAATAAAAGTCATGAAGATAGGGCCGCTTTTTTTTTTTTTTCCGGGCCGCTTTGATTTTTTCCCCGGGCCGCTTGAACTCCCCAGTCCACCCCTGTTCCGGCCCCCTTAAATATATATGCTGGGTGGCCGAGAGGTCTAAGCTGAGTCAATGTCAACTTGGCGAGGGGAGAGTGACGAGTTTCTGTTTAATGCTGGAGCAGTGGACCAGCATATTTTTTGATCTTGTACATCAAGGAGATCCTTGATAATCGTTGTCGTTCCTCCAACGGTGACCAGCTCATTGTTACCAGCATGCTGCCAACACTAGTGGTGTTCCTGTAGCGGTGACCAGCTCATTGTTACCAGCATGCTGCCAACACTAGTGGTGTTCCTGTAGCGGTGACCAGCTCATTGTTACCAGCATGCTTCCAACACTAGTGGTGTTCCTGTAGCGGTGACCAGCTCATTGTTACCAGCATGCTGCCAACACTAGTGGTGTTCCTGTAGCGGTGACCAGCTCATTGTTACCAGCATGCTGCCAACACTAGTGGTGTTCCTGTAGCGGCTCAGAACAAAGCGTGCTGCCCGTCGCTGGACCGCCTCCAAACGGTCGATGCTCTTCTGGGTGAATGGGTCCCAAACTGAAGATGCGTAATCTAAAAGGGGCCGAAAAAAGGTTTTATAGATTTCTTAGATTCCTTTAACCTGGTTGTTTTTATACAAATTAGTTATTTTTAGTTGTTTCTAAATGGTAATTTTGTTATAATTAACAGTTAAAACTATTTATTTGTTTACACTGCTTCATTAATAAATGAATAAAAAAATCTCCATTCAAAAAAGTTATTCGTCACAATAAGAATCGCTTACATCATTTATAGGACGAACAAGAAACATATCTAAAAGTTTAATAATAACCTTTTTAAAATTTATTTTAATATTAATTGATACAAAAAAATTAATCCCTAGTGTGTATTTCAAATAGCCTATAGATTTGTTTATAGTTAAAAATGGTTACCTTTTATAAAATGTATAATAAGGGCCCAAATATGTCAATAAAATATATGTAAAAGGCATAATATATTGATTAATTCATTATTTGTCTGATGGAAGTCCCCAAAAATTGAGTACATTCGTATTTGAATTTAATAGAACGTTCATCGAATAAATTACAAATTAACGTTCATAGAACGCCTAGCGTAAAACTCTTCTATTTACTTAGACACATTTTGAGCTGGCGTATTTTCTCTAAAAGTATTACCAGAAAAAAAAAGGGAATTTATTTGAAAATTGAAAAACGTGTTCACAACTGCACCTGGAAACCAAATTAAACTTCCTAAATTGTTTCAGTATTCATTAACAATATGGGCACTATAATACCCTTAGAAGGTTCATTTCACTAGCAGCGTTTGCCCCCCCACCCCCCCCCCCGGGAGTGAGGCCCAGGCAAATTCCCAGTGTGCCCGTACCTTAAGACGCCATTGCACTGAGCCCCATCCGAGGAATTTTTGATAAATTCAAAATTGTAGTAATGCATTTTTGCGCATACCTGTATTTAGTTTTGCATCATCCTACACTGACTTTAAGAGCAGCAGTCGAGATTTAGGTTCTCTTGGCCTAGTTGTGTTTTTTTTTTTAATTAGATCCTTTATTTTTATTTTCTTCTAAATAGTAATGTGGTTTTATAATTTTAAACCAACTTATTAATTTGTTTAAACAACATCATTAAAACTGTTGTTTTTTTTTGTTTTTTTTTTAAAATAAATCTTTCCGTAAAAAAAGCGATGATTCCCAAGAGGCAATGCTAACCTATTCGTAAATATTGAACACAAATATAACACATTATTATAATAATTACCTTTTTGCATTTTTTAAAATGTAAATTTTTCCAAGTTTTATCTTGCATGTAGACTATATATATATATATATATATATATATATATA